AGGCCTCCTAGTAGCTGCCTTTATTCCCCCTAAAAGGACTTGGCGAAAGTTGTCCGGATCCCCCTTACATTGGTCAGAATTGGGGTCTTCCTCAGGTCTCTCAGAAGGGAAAAACCTTCCTGAGCAGGGCCTGCTGGACCAAGGCAGGGCTGCAGCCCGGGCTCCTCCGGCCTGTGCTGTGCTTTGGCCTGTGTTCCTGCACATAGGCTGCTCTCTAACCTGAACCAGTCTGTCTCTTCGCTCTTCCACGACTGTGAAGAGGGTGACTAGACGTTGCTGGCAGTCATAAAGTTTTTCAGGGAAAGGGGAGGATTTGGTGGTTTTCAGTTATACAGATCACTAGCAGAAGAAGGGAACATACTGGATCTTTTGTTGCCCAGGCCCCATCGGCTCCCGGCTCCCATCCGTGGTGCCTCCCTCAGGCGAAGGAGGAGCTACCTCAGGACAGCCCATTTCATCTCTCCATAAGCCTAGCTCAGCCTAGGCATGCGCCTGTGCCGGGGGTCTAAAAGCAGAGCCTCCTCGCTCTGCTCGGGCTGGGACTGGCCGCAGACAGAGCCATTCTGCCTGAAGGTCCCCAGGTGGAGGAGACCAGATCCCCTGAGGCCGCCTCTTTGGGCCGGGGGAACATTGCCCTCCTCTGGCGGTCCAGACAGTGCGGGACGGCAGCCCTCTGCTCCGCTCCTGGCCACCCCTCCACCGAGGCAGCAAATAAGAACCGGGTGTGGCCACGGCCCCACTGCGGGAGGCTTAGCGAGGAGCCGCACAGCCGAGCCTCTTTTTTTCTTCACTGTGCGGTGCCCAACGGCCGCAGCCCGGAGGTGGATGGATTAAACCATCTCTAACATACTTAAACGTTTATCTTAGAGGAGTCAGCTGCTCCCCCTGATAAATGACAAACTGACAGTTTGAAGCACACACTTCACGGGAGTCAACTCCCTCCCCCTCATAGATGACAGATTGACAGATACAGACAACAAACAGACCAGCACAAATACAACAACAAAGCACCCACACGATGGCCATCACACAAACCATTCATTCACTAGTTACAGAGGGCAGCCAGCAATGTCTTGCTCAGCTCCCTGGACACTGGGGTCAATCAGCTGCGACCAGCCTCCCCTCTAAGTGTCCTTCCAAGGGCACCTCAGACTCTGACTCACCTCTGGAGGCTTCCAGAGCAGACGACTTTCTTCAAAAATCTTTTAGGTCTTTGAAGAAACAAGAAAGCAGTTCCCAGTGGCTCTTATTTCATAATCCCCCTTTCACCACGATCTCTCCTCCACTGGGCCTTCTCATTCCCTTCAAAGATCCCTCATGTCATATGGTTTTAGTTCAAAAATTCCATGTTACACTGACTACATGCTGCTTGGGTGCAGCTAAGCATGTTTTCCATGCCTATAGAGGACATGGGTGGGTAGAACACAGCTTTGTCTTCTCGGGCTCTTCAGAGACAAGACACAAATGATTAATGAATTTAGAAGCAGAAGGGAATGCGTCAGAATTGGTTTGTAATAAATGACCTAGAAACTTAATGTCTGAAAACAATTATTGTTCACAAGTCCATGGGTCACCTGGCTGCTTATACTGACCTGGGCCATGTCTGGCTAAGCACAACTGGCATCACACATCCTGAGAGCTGGTCCTTAGCTGAGAAGGCTATACAGTGTGGCTCACTCAGTCCTGATAACCATGTATCAGGATCCAAGAGAATGAAAAAAA